AGAAGTTCTGAACTGAGGAAGCTTCTTGGGTGAGAAGCCAAATGTTTGGAAGGAAAATAACCAAGCAAGTCCAGTTGCCTTTTGGAAGTGCATCATGTATGTTCTCCATTTGAGTTTCTCTAAGCCTCGTGCCTTCTCCTCTTCTATGGTCCTTTCTCCTTTCTTCCGGACAGCGGACAAGTTTGGCCAGGACATTCATAAACTCTTGGGCCACTGTTGCTTGTTGTTGTTGGTTTGGTGAAGAGGCCATTAAAGGAGGCTGGTAGACTTCACTTGAGCCTGAAGCTTTGCCAGACCCTTCCCCATGGTCTGAAATACTGGTGGTTCCCACACAGGACTAGCAGCATGTTTACATAAAAGTAAGTCTTCATGGCACCTGGGACTCCCAGCTGCCCTTGACTTCCAAGGCACAGTTTGACTGCCAGTGGTTTCTTGGCACGGACACTGGATCTGCCCATGATAATGCTTAATTAATCTCCAGTCTTAATTTTAATGGATCTTTTGGACTTTAGATGTGGCTGGTCACTTGAACAGAAACCCAGGATATACCAGGTCTACCCATGGAGTAAATGAAATGTTTTGCGTTGGGCTTAAACCCCAAAGCCATCGCTGAAATAATGGAAGTTGGCACAGGATAATTTTGGGGTTCCACCCTTCAGAAACGCTGAAGAAGACGGAAAGTGTTGCTACGCAAACTGCCCCCCCTTGCACATGCACACCAACACCCACAAAAGCACATGCCTTTGGCCCCTGACCCCCCAGTTGCGTGGGGGGGGGGCAGAGGGGCTGAAGAAGGCCTGCACACTCTTTTATGGAAGCTGCTTTCAAACCCAGACCAGAGTTCGGTTTGTTCCTTCCTTGCCCCTGCCCATGTGCAGAGTTGTTTCCTCTTCACCTTGAGCTGCTGGCTGAAGCCCAGCAGGGGAGCAGCCCCCTTGCACCCCGGAGCTCTGCTCCCCTGCTGGGCTTCAGCCAGCAGCTCAGGGAAAAGAGGAAGCAACTCTGCACATGGGCAGGGGCAAGGAAGGAACGGGGCCTGCAAACCGAACTCTGGTCTGGGTTTGGGACGTGGGAGCACGTCTAGCCTTGCTCTGCCTTCTCCTTCCCTCTCCCCCCCC